AGTCTGTATGCACTGTGATGTGGTACAAAAAATGCAAAAATTAGGATGTGCAAAAAATGTCTGATACGATTGAGAACATCTTATAAAACAAAAGAGACAAAGTAAAGGGAAAATAGAGCAATTTAGGATGATTAATCTCGCCGAGCATAATTCAGCTACTCAGCTCTTTTCGTTTGTCTTACCTCACGTTAGGCAAACCTGTACACTGTTCACATAAGACAGCATAACACTGGCCGAAGGACTATATAGATAAGGAGTAGCAGGATTTCAAAGAATGCCTTGATAAATCCATGTGTGCATAACTTTAATCTTATTTTGAGAAATGTATGGATTGGGTTCATAAATTAACTTCAGATGGTTTGTGATTGTGGATTTGTGTGACGAAGTCATTGGCGCATCTTATTTCGATTCCCTTCTTGTCATGGTGCTTTGTGAATTTCATTAAAGCATGAATTAACGCATGGATTCGTCAGAGTCGGCGGGTAGTGTGCCGAAGATTTATTTTCACATACACAAGTTCACAACTTTAGGGCAATCTTTTGGTTTCTGGTGGAGTCAGTTGACAAATCCCCTCTACATGCATTTGAAAATTTGGAATACATTGCAGGAAAACTGTCATTTGAGGTGGTCACTTTAGAATGGCCAACGAGTTACATTCTCATCATCCTAAATACATTTCACTAAATTGCCACTTGATGTAGACTGCAAATTTTTCCCTCATCGACGTGCGGTCCACACTATGTCATTATATCATACACAATTCCTTGGAGAGAGTGTGAATTCTGCAAATTTCCTATTCATGCTCATCTGATCAAAGTACTTCCCTTAAAGGGATACACTAAAACGAGGCCAGGCGAGGCAAGACGACTAAACTCCATCTCGTTGCTCAACACAAGTATTTCAGCAAAACTTTTCACAACTCCACCTTGCCGTGGGGGAGGAGGCTACTTCGCCAGTCATCAATCCAGTGTTGCTGACATCTTTGTGTATTACTCTTCCTTAAAATAAATATATATAATTTAAACTCCAGCCTTCTTTTGTTATTTAATTTGCATATCACCATCAGACATCCGACACTGTATGTCTGAAATTGCCATAAATCAAGAGGAAGGATAAACCTTGGAAACCAAAAATCAGATAACTTCTGCGACAAATCAATTTCTATTAACCAATCGTATTTTGGAACCTCGATGCTGCCAACAATATAAGATTACACTGATAAAATTGTCACTCTGGTCTAGTGCGAATACTGCATTTTAAACCTGCCGTATTTTGCTCACGCCAGAATCGAACAAAACGAGAAGGCTACAAGTCCAGTCCATCAGAGGAGCAATCATTCTGTAGAAAGTTATGCTTAAAGCTTATTTGCATTAGTTTTTTACGGAAATTCGGTGCTGAGACATCCATGTTTCCGCCTGCAGATAAACATGCTATCGGACAAAACTAAAAGCATCTGATCGCATTCATTGAAGATACTAGTAACTAAGAAGATGACCGAGGATTTTCCAGATAATCTAGAGGACTATAAGTATCGAAGCTAGACAGCATTTTCAACAAACAACAAAGTAGAAATAAGAAGATGTTTGCACTGACTAAGGCAAGTGAAAAGTCGCCCAGATGGAAAAATATTAATTTGTGAAGAAGCATTCGCAAGTATTTAGTGAAAGAAACAAAAAAAGACACCCAAGTGTGTGTGTGTGTGTCTGAGTGAGTATATGCGCATAAGAGATACAATATATAATCTGGTTAGAAGCCGGAATACAAGAAAATACGAAGCATGGGGGTAAAAAACAAAACGAGTCTGACCCAACCCTGGACAAATTCTTTTCATTCCTCCGAATCCAAATAGTATACCAACTAGACCCGCCGGCAGGTTATAAGGCCCGGCTGTAAGTCACCCATCACAAAATCTTCTAATGAGTCCCAGTTCTAGCAGCTCCAACCTACAAGTAAGACCTTCACGAAAAAGGCCAATTAAGAAGCATTTGCTCAGGCCATCTTTGACTTCAACATTTAAAAAATGGAAGTCTTGAAAAAAAGAAAGCCACTTTACAAGTGAATAAAAAAATTACGTGGTGGACTGATTAAATGGAACCTGGGCCAAATCAGCTTCTGAGTTTGACAAGACAAAGTGGCTTTTTTTTATCGACTAATAATACATTAATGAAAACAATAAGAAAAAAAATAAAGTAAATTTTGAAATAAATGAGAAGTTGGTGAAGATAAAAGGATCATGCATACGGGTAAGAGACAGAAAATATTTACCAATCGTTTCTGAAAATAAACAAAAATTAAATTCAATATCATTGGCAATAAATAGGAGCCATGAAAATGGAAATAATGAAGTTAGCGGAACAAATTGCGAGTGTTAAATGAAGATGCAAAAAACGGAGTAGATGGAGCTGCAGTAGTTCAGGCAGAAGACACTAGCTCCAGTGAGTCCAAGTCGAAAGGTAATTTTCTGCAGGAAATTTAACCTCACTCAAGCGTAGAAAGCATTACATCGAAACACATTACGAGGAGTAAACGTCGTCTCATGTCGTACAACTTAGCGAAAGGTAAAAATTGACCGGCAAGTGGTAGGCCCACCCTATTTTTCGTCTCAGTGTGGTTGTCTTCGTGCACTGGATTGGGAAGGAAGCCAGAAAATTGACTCTGCAATCAAGTACCGAGTCTGGCTGAGCCCTCCGAGGTAGGAAGAAGAGGATATCTGACAATGTAACACTCGCTTCAAGACAGACTCGGGTCTCGAGCCAGCTTCCCAGAAGTGTCGCCGACTTAGTAGTTGGCATCGTCAGAGAGCATTACCCATCTTAGTACGATTTGAAGTGTGGTGCTAAGGCTGGCAATGCTCACTGACGATGCCGATTACGATGCCGACGAAACGTCTGTGAATGTACCAAGTCCACGATCCAATTCTGGAAATGTTCATGCATACACTGGACTCCGGACAAGGTGCCTTCTTCTAGGTCGTCCTGCCAATAGGACGAAGTTGCGAAAACAAGGTCAACCAACTTGTATGCAATAAAAGAAGACCGCTATCACACTAAAGGCCAGACCATCTTGATCTTTATACTTTCGAGTATGCCAGTATAGTTTCATTTTTACTCATGAGTTAATATAGCATGTAGGATAAACCTGGATAGTCTTTTTGACTTAGTGCTCAGACCATACCTGGATGAATAAGTTGTGTTTTAATCACACGAAAAGGGAAATTTGTGTGAATTCCTGAACTTTATGGACCGAATTGATGAAAGAATTAAATTTGCAGTGGAGGTGGAGGCGGATAGGCGACAGGAAATCAAGAAGAAAATAATGTGAGGAGATGATACTTAACTACTAGTCGCATCACAACTACGGAATAAAGATGGCAGTAATTAAGAATTCGATATTGAGTGGAGTTGCAGGACGAGAAGTTGAACAATCTGACTCGGATGGAGACATCATGCAAAGAAATATAGAGATCACAAAGAGATTTTTATGAAAATAAAATCGGGAATCGAGAGAACCATTAAAAGTGAATGTGTGGAAAGTAAAATGGGTATGAAATTGCGGCTGTTACTAAGACAATAGAATATCCAATGGATGAAGAAGTAGAAAGATTACTCTTTACTTGCTAGCGGACGAAGCACAAGAAAGTTGGCAAACTGGATTGCTGAAGAGTTTATCGCTTAACATTTGACAAATGTGAGTAGAAGTATATCGGTGAAATAAGAATAAAAAGTCAGCCTAAAAATCAGGAAACCACAAAGGCTCTGCATGGCATGGATAGGATAAGATTCGAAATTCTTGAAATACTTTGCACGGACGGGACATAACATCGACTGCAAATAGACAGAAAGACTGGCCGCATATGTTGAACATACAAGAAAACACAAAATTCGAGAAATCGGAAGAACATGAGCCTGAAGGAAGGTAGAATCGACGAACACTTTGCGTATTGACTAAGCGCACTCGGGGAGATCAGTAAACAGCAAAAACAACAAAAAGAAGACGGAAGCAGAAGAATATAAGGACCAGGAATTGCAAGAAAGTCCACATTGAACATATTCAAAGCAAGTTAAAGACTATAACATTGGAGGATTAGCCCACAAAGTAATAGATTATTGGAAAGTCATAGACTTGACAATATGGATAAAGAAGCGAGAGATGCGACCGAGAACAGAATTAGTTGGCCCACAATAAATTGTGGCAGGACTCGGCATTTCGGAGGGAAAGTCGGTTGGAAGCAATTCGTGTTGTGGTCTCATCGGAAACCGAAGAAGGATTGTCGCGTGAGAAAGACTGTTGAATTGCGCGAAGAAGTCATGCGACCCCGACGAAATTGTACTAAGCTATCATCTGTACTGTGACAGGCATCATCAGAGCAAGATTGCATACGTTACGAAATAGAGCAAAAATATACTAAATCAAGAGAAAAAGGTGGCCGGCTGCAACTTTAGTGGCTTTTTTTCATACACCCAACATCGCGATCTTAATGAGGCCTCGCGGGATTTGGATGGCTACTTCAACCTTACTCTGCATGCTTGCAAATGAGTGAAATTAACTTCATATCACAATACATTGGTTTGATCGTAGAAGACGTCCGTGAATTAAAGGCTTCACCACATGACTTACCCCGGGCATGTGTGATAAGAGGATCTGTAGCGTCAAGTTAGCTTTGCATCCAGCTTAAGAATGCAGCGGTGGTTTGACGTTGTTTTAGCGACTTGCTCCTGTCGTCAGGGCGACTTAGTTGAACGAACCTTGTCCTAAAGTCTCTGCTAGAGAAATTATCATTATTTCAAGCGTCAGACTATGGACTTGGTACATCTTCAGACGTTTCGCGGAGTCATAATCGGCATCATGAATGTGTCTTGCCAAGTTAACGAGTTGCAGATTGATGCTGAGAATGGCAAGACTCATTGATGATGCCGACTACGATGGAGCGAAATGTCTGAAAATGCATCAAGTGCACGGTCTGAAGCTTCGAATAATGATAACTACTATAGTAGAGGTCTATGGACAAGGTTCGTCCAACTAAGTCGCCATGGCAACAGGAGCAAATGTCGAAAGAAGATTGCGACCATACCGAGGACCACACCATCGAGGGTTTCATGTCCTCGATTAAGAATCCAGAGTTTGGGGATTTGCTCAGTGGGGCTGGAGGATACGTGCTGTCAAAGGCCGAGGGCAGTATGAAAAATTCGCTTCTGCTTTGTACACCAAGGGCACTCGTGGCGATGTTGTGTAATGGTTAACGTGTCGAGACTGCATGTTGTACCACCCGAGTTCGAGTCCCGCTGGAGAGGCAGATGGCAAAGTCAAAAGTGCATCTCATCGTTGTTTTATGAAGCAATGTCATATGAAATTGAATGGATGGACTTCACTTGCCTCTGAAGCGTTGTAAAGTGGCGTTAAGTCTGGCAAGGCTCAGTGATGATTCTGACTGCGATTCCGACGAAACGTTCGAAAATGTAACAAGTACAAGGTCTGAGGAAAGAAATTAGCATGAATACTATGACGAAGGACTGTGGAGAAGGTAGGCTCATTTAGGCCCTCCTGAAAATGTGATGACCTTTCGAAAATGAGGACAAACAACTGTTCGATTTAGCGTTAAATGGAAGCCTTTGCAATAATGTGTTCCAGTTCTGACGATGTTTGTTATAAGTGAAAAAAGGCTCAAACAGTTTTTATCTAAAACGAAAGAAGATGACTTGTGGATAAAAACATCCAACTGCAAGGATCGATTCATGAAATTGTTAAGCTTACCTCCATTTTAAGTGAAAATGTTTCAAGAGATTCGAAGGTCGGTTCCACCAGAAGACGACGGCGGATTCCTCTTGACCAGCTGTCGATTGGCTTTCTGGAAGATTCATGCTGACGCGGTTTTCGAGGCAATCTCCCTCGATTCCGGTGAAAAGGTGCTAAGCTTTCGTCCGTCATATGACGGACATCGGCAAGCTTCATGCTGACGCTGTTTCCGAGGCAATTTCCTTCGATTCCGGTGAAAAGGAGCAAAGCTTTTGCCCCTCATATGACGAGCATCCTCAGAGCAGGGTATCATCCTCACAAACAAATTCAAGCTAACGAGTCAAGAAAACTCATCAACCCATCCCTAAAAAGCTGTATATATACTCTCTATCTGACCTCTTTAATGTGGTATAATGTTATTTGGTTAGTTGCAGTCATATGTCAACCTCGAAGCAAGTCAATTTGTCTGTCTCTGTATGTGTATGTGCTTGTATATGTTCAAGTATGTACGAAACCAGTAGTGATGGCTCAAAGTAATTAGGACAACATAAGTAACGTCTGCTCTTGGCCATCAAGGTTTGATGACCACCATTGCTTCTCTCTCTATATT